CTCTCTATATCTAGCATGAGTTCACTCCCTGAGTGCCTTATGAACAGCCCCAGCATGCATCAGATTTTTTTTCTAGGTCACAGAATGGCATAATTGGGATCCTATCTATAGATGTTGTAATCAAGGCTTCCAATTGGTTCACTTCGCTTCAATCCCTTGCTGAGAATTTGCCTTTCCACCCCAGATGGACTGAATCAGAATCTGCCAGCAGAGGGGTGGAACTGGAATGAACCAGTGTGATTTCACCTTGATTGCAATGAGGAGATCCTGGAGTCAATGCTGTTTGCTACTTCCATACTTCACAGACACCTGGCAAAATTATATAGAGCTCTTCCTCATGTAATAGTTCACCCCAGACATAGTAACTCCTGGAATTAAGTTTTGTTTTGTTCTTTTGCATGATGTCTTAAAGAGTTGGATTGTAACATCATACTTTGGCAGTAGGGACCCCTTATTAGCATGTTTAGCCCTCAAAAGGCTGTAACTGTAAGATTTGGATAAAAGTTAGAAAAAAATCGACACTTCCCACTTCAGAAATCTACATACTTAAAAATCAAGGTTATAGTGACCTTACGTACAAGTCTGGATAGACTCAATGGCAAATGGGTTTTCCAATTCTTCGTTTTAAGTGATCACAGCACCCCTGATTTTTAAATATGTACATTTCTAACATGGGCAATTGCTTTTTCAAAACAATCATAACTCCATCCAAATCTTACATTAAGGAGTTCTGAGGGTAAAACATACGTAGTTACATACTGCTAAAGGATGAGATTACAATCCAACTTTAGTAAACATCAGCCCAAGGGGAATACGGAAAAGAAAACCCAAGCAAAGACACCTAAATTCTGGGAGCATGTGTTCAGGGAGAAAGATCATAAATGGATTATGGCTGTGGGAGAGAAGCAGCTAGAACAAAGGCAACTTCAGAGTTCTACAAAGGCTTTGAACCAGTTCACTGCTACAGGGCCCGCTATCGACCAAACTCTGCCGCTAAATCAGAAAGTTCACTGTGGTGGACTCCAAATTAGTCCATATGGTCTTAGACAGGTGTTTTGTTTTGCTTTCCCCTATGGGAACATATTTTTATTTTTAACATAAGTCAATCATGCCCTGCCGCCCAATTTTTTAGGTTCCAATATTTCACTTTAAAGTTAACTTATAGTAACTATGCTTTTGTTCCAAGTGCGGGCTATACATCTGTCTCCTGCCATCTCACTTGTCTGTTACAATACAACACAATTGAGGGCTGACAACCATGAATGCTGCCACACATGAGTATAATTAAAACAAAAGAGCACCCTATAACCACCAGCAGTATTTCTGTTTTCTAGGGGAAAACTATTTTGCAATTATACCTCTTTTTTTTTTTTTTTTGACCATGCAACCTGCCTGCCAAATTTGCTGGAGGAGGAGCCATTTTAATAGGTTAGTTATGACCTAATGTTCTTTACCAGTACGTCAAACTGATAAAAAATGATGTATTGCTGTAGTCTTCAATCATTTCTTAGAAAATGGCTAAATCAATCCACCACAAATCATAACATGAGTACTTCAGTCTAAAGAATAGCATATACGCTGGTGAGTGAGACTAACACAAGAATTCAGGGACAGAAAAACATGTGGGAGGCTGAAATCAAATCTCCCCACCCAGGGAAGACCCCTGGCACAGCTACTCCAAAGATAACAGATCATTTAGGAAATAAGTAACTAACTAAATAAAATGTATTTTTGTCCTTAACATTTCATTCTGAAAGTATCTGGCATTTTAGAAGTTAAGGACTCTGTAACTAAAGAATAAAGCCACACAAAAGTCACGGGAAAGGGCCCTGAGAGGTACTTGTTTCCTTGGCACAAACCTCATTCATGTTGAGCAAGGTAAGGATAATTATGAAACTCTAGTCCTGGTTTTTGGAATAGTTGAGGCAAACCTACGTAAAGCGATAAGGAGTTTCCAAAATACCACAGGGTACTGTCTGTGAATTCCTAAACACAATTGACTAGATATTCCCAATAATGTTTCTGGCAACTCCTATTCTTCACTTTTTCCCCAAATAGTTTTACTGGCACATATCCAGCTCTATAGTTTAATCACATCAGTAAGAGCTGGACAATCATGATCACAATCAGTTTTACAAGATTTTCTTCAATCTCACACTCATCATTCTTAGCTCTGATCCCGCACCGCCACCACATCAACCTCCCCTGCCATACCCACAAGGAATCATCGATACAGTTAATGTCTCTATTAATTTACCTATTTTGGATTTCTTATTTTAAATAAATAAACAGCCCTAAACTAACAAGAATAACAAAGTAAAACAGATAGAAAACTTAATTGAAAATCAGAAACTACTAAAACCTGAACAATTTTAAATGGATCAAAAGGAAAATAATTTAGGGTGCTAAATTTTAACCTAACTGCATGTGCAACAATCCATTTTCTAAAGGATTATTCGTGTTAGCAAGGCTGTTCACATCCCTGGTCCTTAATCCACAGGTATTTCCCCTTTACTTTTTTTAACTGAAACAGCTTTAAATTATCAAAAGGGAGATCAAATGATAAAAAAGACATTTTTAACTATGTCTGCCATAGTAGACTTTACAGTGCTCGCTATCTGATAACAGGCTATTCACATCCCTCAGCTATAATAGGAGGGGATTCACCAGAGGCTAAATCTATTTGCAGGTGTGGACCCTGCAAATGGATTTGGGGTTTCTACTGTCAACCATACCCTTCTGCAGACCAGGTGCTCACAATTGAAGCTCTGGTGCTATTCCCTTCCATTGGATTTGGTTATTATTTACAATCCTTGGATCACACAGGCGAGTGTGCTTCCTCCTTGTGGATTTAGTTGACTCCTCTTCACTTTTATAACTTTTTTCTCTTCCAAGTCTATAAGGGCTCCAAACCTCTCGCCTCAAACCCCCTGCCCATACATGTGCTGTGCACATGTGTGTCTGTGTGCACATGTAGCTGCATTCTGATGCCTGTAACAACACACACACACACACACACACCCTTCAAATTGGTGACCTTTAGGTTAGCAGCCCAATGTGTTACCCACTATGCCACCAAGGCTCCAGGGCTCCTGTTATTACTAAACCCATTTTAAATCTGAGGGAATTGAGCCAAAAGGGAGCCAAGTAGCCTGCCAAAGTTTACACAGCTAGTCAGTCTCAGACTAATCAGATTTTTAAAGAGAGAAAAGGGATGGCAAGGTGGCTGGCATAGCTTAACCAGTTTTTGCATCAGCTCTGGTGGCATAACAGGTTATGCACCGGAATGCTAACCGCAGGTCAGCAGTTAAAAAATACCAGTCACTCTCCCGGAGTAGAAAGATGTAAGATTTACAGTCTTGGAAACCCATTGGACAGTTCTACTCTGCCCTACAGGTTCGCTATGAGTCAGCATCCACTCCATGAAGGTCAGTTAAGTTGGGGATGGATACCAAAATCAACAACAAACAAAACACACATACACAAGAAAACCCCAAATCTCTATCATTTACTCCCACTTCCAATTCAAAGAAATAAACTAAAACCCATTGCAATAGAGTCGATTCTAACTCCATCTGTAACTCTTTCTAGAAGTAGATCACCTCCATTTTCCTCCTGAGGGCTGGTACATTTGAATCACCAATCTGTGGGTCACGATCCAGTGCTTAATACCCTGTGCCACCAGAGCCCTTTCCATAAAATATAGGCCATGTTTAGCTTCCCCAAATTAAAAAGACTGCCTCACAATAAAATGCAACCCTTTACAGTGAACAAGTCTAGCTGATTTCCTCCCTTCCCCACAGACCAGTATAAGTATTTCTCCACTTATCAGCATTGGTCTAAAGCTTAATATTTGGGAACCACTGAACTAGATAAGCATCAAAGTCTCAGGCTCAAAAACTGTGATTCTAATTTTGTTTTACTGCGTTTCTTTGTGCATAAATGCTGGGATAGAGCAGGGATCGGTTGGCCACCGGCTCACAAGCCACAAGTGACTCCTGGTGGCTTTGAGGGACAACTGAAAATGAAAATCCAACTATCCACTTCATGCATATTATTCCTTTAAATCACCCTTGTTTGTAAAAGGATATTTATGACTCTAGAATACTTTTGAAATTCCTGTGAGGGGCAGGGTTGGCTCTTTCATCTCAAAAGTTTGCCGACCCCTGAACTAGAGCAAATGCCTCAATGAAGGGCAAAGGTAATACTGAACATTTTGCAGAAGAAAAAGAAATTGAAATCTGTTTGAAAAACAACCATAATAAATTAGAAAAAGCTCCAAGTTATTGGGGTAAGTATAAATTACTTTGCATTTTATTTGATTAATAATGAGCTATTGGTTGTAGACTGACTGTGCTAGGCACGAAAGTAACACTTACATACACTCTCTTAATCCTGAAAAAAATTCTGTAGAGCAGGTAATTCACTCACTGCCATCAAGATTCCAACTCATAGTGACCCTATAAGACAGGGCTGAACCACCCCTGTGGGTTTTGGAGACTCTGTGAAAGTTGAAGGCCTCATCTTTTCTCCTGAGGACTGGCTGGTGGTTTCAAACAGCTAACCTCACAGATAGCCCAACACATAACCCATGATGCCACCAGGGCTTCCTGCTATTCCTAAGCCCATTTTGCATATATGGAAAGCGAGGCAAAGCAGAGGCGAGTAGCCTCCCAAGGTTCACAGTTAGTGAACTTCAGCAGTTAGGATTTTTTGGTATAACTCAAAAAAAAAAGGATGATATTTTGATCTTAATTACCATTTTTCCTTGTGTAAGTGAGTGGCAAATGACTGGAACTTCAGAAGTTGCACAGCGTAAAAAAGTTTACCTATATTATTTTTCTACATAGTGTATTTTGAACAAAAACATAAATGTTGGTAGGGTTTTCCCACTATAACATGAATTCAGATTTCTGTTAATATGACCGGTATGGGTGTTCCCCCCTTCAAAAGATTTCATGAAACCACAAATTTCGAATTTGTAAAAGAAGAATACTTACAGATTACCGTCTTCGATCTTAAAAACAACCCGTATATTTTCTGTGACTTCAGTCTGCAGAAAGAGACAACAATTATGAGTATAGTGACATGAGAAGAGCCCCTTTAAAAAGCTTAACAGTGGTTTCATGTAACCTGCGTCCATGATGACAGGGGAAAGGGAGAAGCAAGAAGTGGCTGTAAGGGAGATCTGACTAAGATGGGTGCTATTGGTGAGAGAGCGTGCAAGTGAGTGCACTAACTGGTCTGAATGGAAACCTAAAGACATCATTTTTCCTTCCTTTCTCTTTTTTTTAACCTTGAAGTTCCTTCTGCAGGGAGTTTTGTGTTATTATTTTACTTTAATTGGAAGTTCACACATATATCATACTATAACATAATGCAATCACATCAAGCAGTACTGTATAATTGCTACCCAGTTACTACATAGGGGGTACCCCCCTACCCCCGATAAAAAAAAACCTGGAATTTTTTTTCAAAGCTATGTATTTAAATTTTTTTTTTTAATGAAACAACCTTTTTCACTTTCAAAGTACTCTCTATTACACTTAAAACACTTGACAGATCTGTAATTCCATTCTCGGAAACATTTTCCAAACCCATCTGTTTGGATGGCTGATCTCTTCTACATCATCAAATCACTGTCCTTTCTTGTCCTTTTCATTTGCAGAAACAAAAAAAAAAATCGCATGGTGCAAGGTCAGGTGCATGGGGCAAGAGAGGCATGCTGTTTTTGCCAAAAACTGGCTCAGTGAGATGGCTTCATGAGTAGGTGCATTGTCCTGGTGACAAAACCAGTCCCCAGTCTGCCACAAATCAGGCCTTTTTTGTCACATACTGTTACACAATGTTTTCAGAACCTCTAAATAGAAAGCTTGATTAATGGTCAGACCTGGTTGAATGAACTCCTAATACACTGTCCCCCTCACAGCAAAAAAAACAAATGAGCATCATCTTGATCTTTGATTTCACTTGATGAGCTTTTTGGGAGCGAGGTGACGCTGACTGGCTTGATTGATGTTTGCTTACGAGGTTATAAGAATAGCACCATGTTTTGTCACCAGTAATGACCTTGGGGGAAAGAAAGTCTAGGTTGCTTCAGAGCTGTTCTTTCAAAGCACAGCACGTTTCCAGTCAATGTTCTTTTTCCTAGTCAGGCAGAACCTGAGGCACAAATTTCACAGTGGCCCTTCACATTCCCCAATCTTCCATGAAAGTTAGCTGAACTGAGCTCTAAGACAGTCCAAATAACTTCCCTGTCTCGTTAAGGGTCTGGCATCAGTCTTAGAGCACAAGTGAATGAATTTCGTCAACATTTTCATCTGTTCTGGAAGTTGGAGGATGTCCAGAATGAGGTTTGTCATGAATCTACATTTCACCTTTTTTGAAATAAGAAAATCACTCGCACACTTAAGTTTTTCCCATGGTGCTGTCCTTTTAAGCTGTGTTCAACATCACAACAGTTTCTGAGGCATTCTTCCCAAGCAGCAAACAAAATTTCACCACAGCACCCTGTTATCTTAAATCGGCCATCCCCCAAAATGAGGTATGAGTAAAACTGCTTTTATGAAAAAATTCACTGTGACCAGAAAGACCCTTCCCAGGCAACGCCACTGGATGCACTAACTCAGAGCTAGTTGCTTGATGCTTGTCTAAGGGTGTGTGTGTGTGTGTGTGTGTGTGTGTGTGTGTGTGTGTGTGTGTTATGAAAGCTCTGCCCAGCGGAGCTTTCCCCTCCCCCATATTCTTTGAGAGGGTACCCCTCATATAGATCAGTTTTGTAAAATTCTTCAAGAGTCATGCCTCAAGAAGGTTTAGGGTCAGTTTAACAGTCAAGGTTGACATCTGCACAAGAAAACTAGTCATGGATCAACATTTGAAACAGTAAAATAAGGCCTCTCAGTAATGATATTGCTTTCTTACATGTCAACAGCACTGAGGGTGTACTGATGGCGCACGGATGGTACAATGATCAAGCACTTCACTGCTAGCCAAAACGTCAGTGGTTTGAACCCACCAGCTGCTCCATGATAGAAGGATGTGGGCAGTTTACTTTTATACAGATGTGCAACCTTGGAAGTCCTTTATGGCGGTTTTATTTTTGTTCTGCACAGTAGTTGAACGAGCAAGCCCTGGTGACACAATGGGTTCAGACTCGCCAATAACTAACTCCCACAAGAGAAAGCTGTGTCATTCTGCCTCTACAAAAATTACAGCCCTGGAAATGCTGGGGGGGGGGCGACTCTACTCTGTCCTACAGAGTCCCTATGAGTTGGAATCAACTCCATGGCAATAGATTAGGTTGGGCATTTATCAGTGCTAAAGGATCTTGGTAATATCTGCCTGTCTAAGCAGGGCAGAGGCCGAGAGACCGCATGCCTGCCAACCTGGCTGGGAAGAGGTGCTATGGACAAAAGAACCATATCCTTAACATTTGTGACCTGTAAACTTTCCTAATAAACTTCCATAATTGTGTTGTCTGTGAGCTCTGTGTGGCCAGTGCAACTGATTATCAAATGCAGCAGAGAAGTGCAGTGCCCTAGGAGGGATGGTTGGTGTCAGCATAGGATAAAGGAAAATAGAGGGGTAGAGGCATGTCTGAGCCCTACATCATAGGAATCATCCATGAGCTGGTATGGAGTTGGAGTCTCCTTCTCCTTAGAAAGATGAAGGAAAGGACCAGGTATATCTCCATCTACTACTACCAGTGTATGCCCTTCGTGGTGGTGGTGATGGTGGTGGTGGTGATGGTGGTGGTGGTGATGGTGGTGGTGGCTTTTAATGGAACTACTTTTCAACTTCAAGTTAATAACCTTGAATAGTCTACTTTTGCTAAAGACAGTATCAGTACATGTTTAAACATGTTAGGACTATAAATAGAAGCCATACTACAATACTTTCATATTTTTCTCCCAGAGTACTAATATTTGCCATTACCACAAAGAAGGGAAACCCTGTATATACATGTCAAAATATCCAAAGAGCTCACAAAATGCATTTTACAGACAAAAATCCTCTTTCTCTTTCTTCTATGTACGTATACACAGATAACTTGTCATTCATACTAGGTGTATTTGTATATATGTTACTATATAATTCAGATAAATTGTAAACAACAAAAAAAGAACCTTCCATAAAAGCATGTCAAGACCTAACAGGTGGCAGAATATAGAATCAATTATCCTTTGCAACTATTTATTGATAAAGCCTTTTTCCAACTTATACAAACAATGAATAGTTGCAAAGGATAATTAATACACTATCCTTTGTGCTCGAGATGGAGAATTTGGAATGAGTAACAGTATCAGAAAATTCACTCAGTTTCCATTTTCTACTCATCTTGACTGTCACAGCCCTGAATCAGTTGGAAGCATCTTTTCAGAGGAGATCTAATACAAAACATAGAATTTTTCTCAGTGCCTAGAATCTTAAAGTATATGCCTCTCATCATTAAAAAAATAAATGACAACCCAACAGATGAAAGATAACCAAATAGCATTTTCTAAACTAGTGTAATGGGAGTTTTTCTACACAAAGAAAAACGGACCCACCTCCTCATTCTCCTCTCATTGAAGAGCCTTCCTACAAAACAAAGTCTATTCAAGTAAATTGAAGTAATTTAATACAAAAACAAAGCAGATTACCACCACACAGCTTCTAGTTACAGATAATCAAGAAAAGGGACACATCGATTCGAACTGTAATGCCCTTTTTAGCCATACTTTTCACTCAGGAGTATGCAAGTTTTTCTAATGTGAGGAAATTGGAAAACCTTAGTTTGGCTGGTTTTCAGTACTTTGTTTTGTTTTGTTTTTTAGCAGACTGAGGTGTATAATAATATGGTTTCTTTCTACTTAACAGACTCTTGGTGGCAGAAAGAAAGAGACCATACAACTCCATGAGTTAATCATCTCACAGCTAGGGAACAAGGCAGCACAGAGAAAGCCTGACTCACAGAACAGCAGGGAGCAAAACAATGACCAAGCAGCTACCAGGAGATTCGTTTCCATACAAAATGACCAGACACTGTTGTTCAAGTTCATATTTTGGGTCGGCTTTAAAACAAACCATCAGTGTGTCTTTATTTTTGTTGGTGTTTTTCCTTCTCTCCTCTCTGCAAATAAGTTGATCTATTAACCAACATTTTGAAACCATTCTTTCAGAAGTACAGTCAATACTAAACTTGTGATAGGAATCTGTTGGAAATGTTTCAAGCATGATCCATCCTTATCTAGTATTAATGTCTCAAGGACGAATCTTAGTAAGTTTAAAATAGGAAGTTTCAGGAAACAGTGGAACATAGTAACAAAGTCCTTAGCATTTTGGCATCAAATCTAAGGAAATGTCAATTCTGATGAGTACTCTTCAAAATAATTTCCTTAGCAATGGTCTTTTACAGGTCTTGCTTTAGATAAACAGAAAACTATATCATATAATATATATTAGAACATACTAGGAGATGAAAGCATCCATACTAGAAATACAGTTCTCAGTTTAGAAATATTGATATCAGCAAATAATACAAGAACAAAGTCACCTGTAGGGCTCCATTATAAATGCATGTATTTGAGTCGATACATGGAAACACTAAGATATACCAGCTATTATGCTAGTTATTATTACTGGGTAACGTATGTGTTTCTAATGGTTCAAAATACATTTTTGCATTCTTTGTGCTAAGAAATATTTCCCAAAACTTTTATGAGGAACGTGTGCACTTAAAAAACTTGACAAAAAATTATAAAGGAAGAATCAAAAGACTACTTTAAAAAATGAGGCAGTCAAACTACCGGAAGTTACTGCTCAGAATCTAAACTCTGGTAAAGTCCTTTCTCTCCCCTCAAGAATATATGTATATCTGTGACAACCAACAAAAAAACTCACCGCCATCAGGTCAATTCCAACTCATAGGGACTCTGTATGACAGGGCAGAACTACAACTGTGGGTTCCCCTAGACTGTAACTTTTTTTTAAATCATTTTATTGGGGGCTCATACAACTCTCAACACAATCCATCCATACATCCATTGTGTCAAGCACATTTGTACATTCGTT